TGCCGCTGGTGTTTGTTGCTGGGTCGTTTTGGGGTTGTGTTCATTGAACGCCGCCTTTCCTTGTTGATCTTGTTTATCATATTTTATTCTATTACTAATGCATTGTAAATATATTTTATACCCTTATGCATGTCATCAGGCAGCTCGACCACTGTCTCCGCATTCTGAGCCATATCAAAATACAGTTGCAGCCAGTTAATGGCAAATATCTTTTATTGAATGTTAAGGATTATTCTTGCAACATAAAAACGCAAATATGTCTGTTTTTAACAAGAACTGGTAGTATTTATACCCTTGAAAAAGTACTTGATACTTAATTTATCAATACAAAACAGTGGTGGACCGTACCATTCCGTACCATTTTGTGTTGCAACGCAAAAAAACGTATAAGACCGTGCTAATCCCTGCCTCTCCATAGTACAACGTATTGTGATTGTGATTTTCCGTGACAATGCCGTATTAATCCGTATTAAAATCGTAGCTTATACGAAGGGTAACCATACTATTCGTAGGTCTCCGTATCAAACCATGGAAATCCTTGACAAGTTGGGGACTACGAATCAGTAAGGACTAGTACGGTTTTCGTACGGACCAGTACGTATCAGTACGTTTAATACGGACTAGTAGGGATACACAATGGTTGATTTATCCATAGCAAATTTTTGTGCATATGTTCAAAAATTGTCAAGCCTCAAGGATCGCTATGGATATACAAGGGCTACTACGATTGATTATGGTTATAATACGGAGAGCTACTGACCAGTACGGGTAGCTACGGACGCTGCCGGAATTAATCTGTGGCGCTTCCGTGGTCGCATTCCGTGAATATGTGACTGGGGTATTAATTAGTAATTAGCCATGGTATATGTAAACACTCAGACATGCAAACATGTTAAATGTTTATTTTCATTGTGGACATTTTTTCTGACTAAAGTATTGAACTAAGATCAACATTTTTGTTGAGTTTTTTAATTCAGAATTGTTTTCCAGGATTTTGGGAATATGACTCATCCCATGAAATTAGGAATTTCAGCAATGTTTTGTTAAAAATTGGGGAAAAATGGCATGACTGAAATTTAGCAGTGATTGGAGAAAAGTTGAGTGAAGACTTGGGATAAAAAACTTGGGAGTCTTTATTTGTGATTCTGTTTCAGCATCTCTGAAATCAGTATATTTATTATGATATATTGAAGTAAGCATAAAATGTGCACTGTATTATATAATTAACATAATTATTAAAACAGATAAATGCACTTATTTAGAAATAAATCATATTTTCGTGAAAATAGCTTATTTTCGGTATCCATCTAGACCTGTTTATGAGCAATAACCAGGGATTTTTTTTGGCTTATTTTATAGCCGTTTTTGGGTCATATTCCTAATTGAAAATAGTATATTATTTTCCCAATCCACAGGAAAAAATTCCCAATTGAAAGTTACAAATAAAAATATTGAATAAAAATTCTAAAATCTTTGAAAATAAAGACTTCTTCACCGGTCGGTCTATTTACCCCAAGACACCCCAAGATACCCCTAGACTACCCCAAGACAACGTCGAGACACCCCAAGACACCGTCAAGACCACCCCAAGACAACATCGAGCCACCCCAAGACCACCCCAAGACACTTTTACTGACATGTAAATATGTCTCAATTTTACCTTTTTTATGGGAGGAAACAATGCGACTTCACATTTACACATTAAATCTCTCTTCATTTATTTCACTGTATTTTTAAAGTAAGACTATAATTATATTCTTTTTGTGTAAAATAGTTTACAACAATGAAATAATGCCAATGTTGCGGGATTTGGGTGTAGTGCAACTCAGCAAGTTTAATTCTACGATAATGTCATGTTATGAGTGACACATTTTTGATGCCTGATTATTAAATCGATCATATTTTGTTTCAGAATATTGATTTTGTTTTTATTTCATCTGCCCCACTTTTCATTAGATTAACATATTAACATAGTCTTGTTGTTTCAGTAGTTAATTTTAATCAAAATATTTCTTTTTTTTTATATTAAAGAGCATATCAATAAATATTTTAGTGATGAAAGAAGTCCATAGTATTACATAATTAACAATATTTGATATATTAGACATGACACATAAATAATCAGTTGTCGTGTATAATAACACTTTCCCAATATACACAATATATAAGTTTCTTAGGGTGTCTTGGGACTAAAAATGTGTATCTTTATGTCCCAGAGTAGTCTTGGGGTTTCTTAGGGTAAATAGACCGACCCCTTCTTCACTGTAATAGTGCTTAAATGTTTGAAGATGCCATTCTAGACAGTAATTGTTTGCATCCATTTAATCACTGTAAAATTTCAGTTTTGCATTTTTTTCCCAATTTTAACAAAACACTGATGAAATTCCCAATTCCATCGGTATGGGCCATGTTCCCAAAATCCTGAAAAAAATCCCTGAATACCTATTAGATGTCAGGTAGTCCAATAAATTAGACGTTACAGGCTTGTTATAGTTTTATGTTGGTCAAGCCTGACGTCTAATAGTTATTGCTCATAAACGCATAGCATTTTGAAAAATTAAAAAAATGTCTGTAGACTTGCCTTTCAAGCTTTATTCAAAAGCTAATCTTCTGTTCTTTCAATTGCATGGTCTATCATTAACAAAAACTCTCAAACAATGTACTTATCAATTAAAGATAAAATATAAATATCAATCTATTTCGCCTATATAGGCCATACTGGTTAAGTAAAGCGTTTTACAGATTGATTCCAATTTTTTGAACAGAAAAATATATTCAAACACACTGATGGTGCATGGGCAATTATTTCGTTGAAAAAATATTTGGTTATAAACTTCTGGACTCATTTAAACTCTTGCATTTGAATTAGCCAATCAGATTTCGCGCACTGTATGGCCGCCATTTGTATATCGGCTGTACAAGGAATTTAATTAAATGAGAGGATTTAATCATGACTTTTCGGATGTGACAGTTTAATTATTTTGTTAAAAGGTATTTATTTTTTAGTTTTGTTCATAAATAGGTCAAAATTAATGTAAATACACACTGTCTTAATAGTTTAAATGCATTAGATCTAAATTGATGTCTAATGTCAATTTTTTTGCTACACGATTTTGCAAAGATCTGTTAAGACCTAACGTAACATGGAAAATGTAAAATGTCAGATTAATGAATGATAAATATGAAATAGGTTACGTATAGGTCTTATAATTAGGACTAGATGCCAGGCTTATCTCAATATTTCGACTGCAAGACCAACCAATTTTATAATCTGATATTTCATAGATGTCTGTCTTTACATCGCGAAGGAGACTTATAATCGTCTAGGGCTTATAAATGTCTGGCTACTTGAACGACAAACTATAACAACTTAAACAAGCCCGTAACGTCTGATATATTGGACTAGGGTGCTCATATAAATTTCCTGTCACGTGTAAAAAATAAACCACTGAATATAACCCGTGCATAATAAATAGCTACATGTTCATGATGTAGGACTTCTATACTTTTTTCTAAAAAAATAAAAGAAAATATTGTCTTAAATCAGACTATTTGTAGTCCAATAGATTAGACGTTACAGGCTTGTTATAGTTTTATGTTGGTCAAGCCTGACGTCTAATAGTTATTGGTCAAAAACGCGTAGCATTTTGAAAAATTAAAAAAATGTCTGTTGACTTGCCTTTCAAGCTTTATTCAAAAGCTTATCTTCTGTTCTTTCAATTGCATGGTCTATCAGTAACAAAAAGTTTCAAATAATGTACTTATTAATTAAAAATAAAATTTAAATATCAATCTATTTCGCTCATCGGCCATACTGGTTAAGTAAAGCGTTTTACAGATTGATTCCAATTTTTTGAACGGAAAAATATTTTCGAACACACTGACGGTGCATCGGCAATTATTTCGTTGGAAAAATATTCCGTTAGAAACTTCTGGAGTCATTTAAACGCTTGCAATTGAATTAGCCAATCAGATTTCGCGCACTGTATGGCGGCCATTTGTATATCTGCTGTACATGGAATTTAATTATATGAGAGGATTTAATCATGACTTTTCGGGTGTGACAGTTTAATTATTTTGTTGAAAGGTATTTAATTTTTAGTTTTGTTCATAAATAGTTCAAAATTTATGTAAATACACGCTGTTTTATCGTAAAATTACCTAATCCCACACCCAACCTATTTTCAAACCTTTCATTCATGTGCTGTTATTTTTTTACTAGAAGTGAGTATGATGTCCTGAACTTGTGTGCATAAAAGCTTAGTTTCTGACAGACATGTCTGCTGATGTCAAATGAAAACAGTGCATAGGAACAAATATTTACATAACATATTTTATTACTTAGCGTAATTTCATACAAATTGCTATTACCTTTGTAAGTCCCATAAATACACCATTAACTATTTGTGAAAATGAATATTATAGACAAAAATATCTTAAAGCAGGTAACTGCATCGTGTAGGGTACTTCATTGTCATGTGATAGTCATATAACAATCACTTTGTTGGCTAAACTAAACAGTAGAATTTTAGAGATATTTGAGGGGGTTTGAAATTAGGTTCTTTATTTTAAGGAGTCATGTTAGTTTTAAAACAGAGGGTTGTGCTTTTCCAAGATGGAAATAGAGCTTTTTTAATAGTTGAATTTCAGTCAAATTTTACAGAAATGTTACATAAAGATTAAAGTGTACATATGTAAAGAATTTTTATAAAGATATATTTTTATTTACATTTAAAGACCTCTTGAATGCTTAGAGGTTTGAGAACTGGTTAGTCCACGATAATTGTTAAAATGCATTAGATCTAAATCGATGTCTAATGTCATTTTTTTGCTACACGATTTTGCAAAGATCTGTTAAGACCTAACGTAACATGGAAAATGAAAAATGTAAAATATCAGATTAATGAATGATAAATATGAAATAGGTTACGTATAGGTCTTATAATTAGGACTAAGACTATTTGTAGCCAAAATTAGAAAAAAAGAAGTCATGACAATACCTTGGTTGTATAAATCATCCAAAACTGAAACAATCTCTCTTTTGAACTCAACTCCTCCATTTCTGCTAAATCATGTATTTCAAAATAATCATTTTATTGAAAATTTTGGAGAATTTTATCCAGCACTTCCGCAACTAGGGCAATATCAGAAGTATCCGAATTATTAATTAAAGGTAAAGAATATAAACTACCAACAAGACTCTTAACTACAAATCTTGAAAAAAATCTTGAAATCCTCTTGCGTTCGTTCATTTATTTGTCAAATGTTATAGATGAAGATATCTAATAGAAATAGTTCATGATGATCGAGGTGTTAAACCTATCTAAGTAAGAGAAGAAGCTCGAAAATTATTGTTGTGCTTGTGGTATTTCAATTCTTTCCATTCGAATATTTTCTTGTTGGGTGGTTCCAGTATTTCATACTTGAATACTGTTGAATCACCCTTGGGATATATGTGGCCTGTTTTTTAAATGTGTCTTTTGACGTATTATCTAGCTGTGATATGCAGGCTTCATGACCTCTGATCGCCTTTCAAAATTCCATTTTATTTAGTTAAGACCATTGTTTTCTCGTTTAGGACAAACGCATTTTTTTACTTGGGGACCATATGCCGCTTTTCATGGAATGGCACTTACGTGTCACATTGAATTAAGGTTCCTCACAAACATGCCTTCCCATGTACATAGTACAAAAACCCTACCTCCCTTAGGCTCCTCAGATCATGACATAGTCTTCAATGAAATAAAAATTAACAGAGGGCGTCCACTTCAATCAAAGAGGGAACTCCAATGTTATAATAAGGCAAACTGGAATTGTTTAAAAAATTATGTAAGTAAATATGCCAAGATCTACGTACAGTGAAACACACCACACTGATCCCAACAAAGCCTGGATTTCATTCAAGGACGAACTAACCAACTTTTTTTTCTATTCACATACCAACTAAATCACGTCGAGATCTATCATGGTTAAACAAGTCCATTATTCGCAAAATTAGGAAACGTGATAGAACTTATTCAAACATAAAAAGGTCAAAGTCCCCATCAAATGATTTGGTCAAAAAGCTCAAAGTACTCAAAAGTGAAAATCCAAAGAAAAACTAGGAAAGCATACTGGCAATACCTAGACTCAGTCATTTTCAGCCAATATTCCCAGAATGTGAAAAATAAAAAAATCTACCAATATGTTAAAAGTAACAAAATTGAAAGCTGTGGTGTGGCACCCCTCAAATCAGAAGGTCAAACATTCACTGATCCAGTTGCAAAGCAAATATCCTTAACTCCCAGTTTGAGTCTGTCTTCTCTCGGCCTCAGCCCCTTAGCTTATCACAGGCTTGCAAACAGAAGCTTATTCCAAAACACCACCCATCTATGCCAGAAGTATCTATATCGGAAGATGGTGTGAAGAAACTTTTAAAAGGCCTAAACCTAAATAAAGCTTCTGGTCCTAAGCAAATATCCCCTCGGTTACTAAAAGAGCTCCATCAAGAGGTTACTCCCATACTGACCCATATCTTCCATATCTCACTAAAAACAGATATTGTCCCAGAAGACTGGAAGCATGCAATAATTACCCCAGTTTACAAAAAGGCCCAAAATGCAAACCCAGCAATTATAGCCCAATCTCCCTCACATGCATAGCGTCCAATTTGATGGAGCACATCTTAGTGTCCAATATTATGTCCTTTTATGGTAAGCACAATATCCTTAGCCCCTATCAAGATGGCTTCAGGTCAAAACGGAGTTGTGAGTCCCAGCTAGTAAGCTTCTCCCAGAAAATTCATGACAATCTTGAAAGTGGCCAACAAACTGATGTCATTGTCATGGATTTCAGTAGGGCATTTGATAAGGTGGACTATCACAAACTTGTGAGTAAATTGAAAAGATTGGGAATAAGTCACAAGGTTACAAAGTGGGTCCATTCCTTCCTTAAGTCACGCTCCAAGCAAGTTGTAGTTGAAGGTCAAGAATCGGGAATTCTGCTAGTCCTCTCAGGTGTCCCCCAAGGCTCGGTATTAGGTCCCTGCCTTTTCTTTCTTATATCAACAACCTCCATGATAGTGTCAAAGGTAAGGTTAGACTCTTTGCAGATGTTACTGTTGTCTACCTAACCATCAGATCCAAACAAGATGCCAAAACCCTTCAAGATGACCTTCATGCTTTAGAAATATGGGGGAAAAAACCTGATCCATGGAGTTTAATCTTGTAATTTTGTTGTGATTAATGCTTCCGAGGAATCACTTTGTTTTCAGATTTTTATACTTCACAAAAGCAAGTGTCAAGTGCTGTGTGGCAGCTGTAAAAAGTTGCACCGTACTTCACTTCAGTGTTGTTATATTTTTCTGGTCCTTCGGGATCATTGATGCCATGAGAATAGAGTACCGCTCAAGCCGGTGCTAGGGACGTGAGCGATGTTGCACTTATTCAGTATCCCTCATGTACAGACTCAATCAGACCGAGTCTGCAATTCTCTTGTAATTTTATTGTGATTAATGCTTCCGATGGATCATTTTGTTTTCCAGATTTGGATAAATGTGAAGTTCTCAGGATAACAAGAAAAAGTAACCCTGTAATATTTCCTAACACCCTCCATAACATTCAACTAAACTCAACCAAAGAAGCAAAATACTTAGGAGTCACTATATTAGTCAAGACCATTCATGGACTAAACATATAAACAATATTACACCTAAAGCAAATAACTTCCTTAGATTCATTAGAAGAAATGTTAAAACCCCAAATAAAAAGATAAAGGAAACTGCATATAAAATCTCTGTTAGACCTCAGGTTGAATATTGCTCCATAGTATGGCATCCTCGAGGACACACTACCATCAAAATTCTTTCTTTCCTAGGAACATACGATTTTGGAATAGCCTTCCTCTAACTGTTCTGTCTAGCCCCAGTTTAAAAATCTTTACTGAGAGGCTTGACCCATTCTATTCCTTTCGATTTCTTTTATATGAAGTCATGTACATTTGTATTTGTTTCCCCTTCGGTGATTCGCAGCATGTCATATTAATAAATGAGAACGGGAAAAAATTTTACGGAAAGCAGTATAAAAGTCAAAACAAAAAAATAAACTTAAATTCAATAGTTTATTTCTTACATTTGTATCTTCTACAGGAAATTACTAATTATTTTGTAGTAAACTATGTATTTTTTTATTGTGCCATAAATAGATGACAGACCTAAAATCTATTTATAGAAGTAGTTTTATTTAGCGAGTCTGAAATTAAACGAAACGGTCATTCGTGTCGCGCTTTGGTAAGTAAACACGAACTGGTGAACTTTGCAGGAAAGGAAATGCAAACATATTCAACAATAAATTGCACTCTTTATAAAATTATCGAAAAAATTTAAGCAGGCCATTTTTACGAGTATTCTCATTTTGAAATTGTCTTTTCCATGGGTTCTTTCCGGTAAATTAATAGCTCTTTTGTTTTTTGTTTTTTACGGCACTGATTGTACTTCTGACATTTTTATACCGTGAAATTTTAAATGGATCCTGATTTCACGAATTTTTGCTGTACGAGGTTGATTTGTTTGAAGGCAATTGGTTTTATGGTGGTTTGACTGGAATGTTGATTTGCCGAATACTGTGACATTATAACAACAGAAACTTTCGTCTGCAGTTTTAACATGAGGTGTTATGGATTTATTGATAGGAATGTAAACACACTGGTTGGTCAGACGAGGATATTGAAGCAATTCAACAAAATAATAGATGGATCTCCCACTAAATCAATTAACAATTATAGTTCTTTATTCAGCATCAATTTCAAGAAGCTTTGACTCGCATGAACATGACGTAAGTGAATTTTCCCATACCTATCTAAAATTCAGGTATTACCTTCCATTATATTGATAAATAATGTTTCAACATGCCATATGAATTTATTTATGATTTTTAATGTACCATTATTTTTGTAAACGCCTATAACAAAAACATCCTAAAATTGGTCTTTTTGAAGTTCATCCTATTTTTTTTCATTCCAGTATGTGTTCTACTTTCAGTTTTTATCTGGGACTTGAACTGTAACTACTTTATCTAAAGTTCCGGGTATTAATAGAAACCTTTTTTTAATTTGACATGAAAAAAATACATGTAATATTAATAATCTGGTCATCAGATGTCTACTAGTTCATTGTCACTTGCTGCACTTCTTGCTTTTACGCCCTTTGATGCTTCTTGTTACATTGTATAACATGATATACCATTTGCCGCACGGACATTTTGAAAATAAAGTCGATGAACGTTTCAGTTTTGGCTTATTTACATATGGATTTTTATATTTCTTGCTATTATTAGATGTTGATATTTGTAGAAAATGAGAAGCATTATAGGTGAAAAAGAAAAAGTGCATGCTTTGATATTTTTTACCATCTAATATTACTGACTACAGTAGTGACACAAACATAACTATATGTTGCACTACTGTCATGTCACATTACAAGTCTTGTAAGTATTGGAATTTCCTTACAAGGTAGGCATCAGTGAAAGCATATTTTTTAAAATTTAATAGCTTTCCCCTCTCTCAGTGACAGTGCATATGATAAGTGTAATTATGCAAATTTAAACGTTTTCAAATCATCCGGAATAATGCACAATAATACTTAATCTAAATAGAAAATGACCTGTGTTTAGGAATGATTCGGTAAGGTATCTGTAATGAGCGCATTTTGTGCGCGGAGCTTTTCAATTGCTGCATTGCAGCAACATTTGTACTTGTTGTTAATGACTTAACTGAAAAATGTTCAAAAATATTTCAGATCCTGCAAATAAATTTGGTTTTCTTAAGCAAATAAAACTGTCTGGTCAAAAAGGCAAGACAAGTAATGTGTCAGTTAATCATAGCAAACCCTGGTTTGATGAGTCTTGTAGAATGTATAGCAATCAGTACTTGCGTGCAAAGGGTAAATATAGAAGGTTTCCCTCTACTTCAAACTAACAAACATTGAACGATACAAAAAGGAAGTCAATGTTACGTTACGTTTAGGTCATTTCATGATGATGTTAACAAAAAATTAAAGGGTTTACGAAACTCGGATCCTAAATCTTACTGGGATCTTTTAAAGGAATATTCAAACGAAAGGGACCTGTTTTGAATAAAATTTCTAGTGAAGTATTTTAGAATTTAA